GAGAAAAATACATTTCTTTGTTTCCAGCCGGAAGCTGCAGGGAGCTACGATGGTGTTGGCCAAAACACCTGGAGCCTTCCATTTTGTCATCACTTGTCAAATTATCTGTTGTTCTGGACGATCGCAATGTAGGATCTTTTTACAAGGACAAAGGAGCATTTGGACTCGACGTTATTGCAAGCGACGGGACATTTCCGGTCTTTATAAAGTCACGATTTTGATTTGCCTCAAAATTTTGGCTTTTCCAATCAAAAATTGCAAGAAATTTCACAAACATATGAAAGACAAAAATTTACAGTTACGAAATTTCAAAAAAAAAAATTTTTCGAGCAAATCGTCATTTTTCGTATCCTAATACCTTAAGCCAATTACTGCGGGCCCAAATAATGTCTTAAATAAATGAAACTTAGTGCATAAAGATAATTTAAGTAGATATATTGACACATTTGAATCAAATAACTAACAACAGGATTAACAACAGGAGGTAGCAAGAGTGAGGCTTCTGCAAGAGTTACATTTTAAACAAACTGTTTTAAAAGTACGTGGGTCGTAACAGTTATAACTGTCCATGTGCCATTACCTTGAGTATCATTTCTTTTTTTTAACGGTTGTGCACGAGAAGACACATGAATATGGATGCAACTCAAACAAATAATCTTATTCTCAAGGGAATGACACGTGGTCTGAAATGGGACAACATTACGCCCTAGCCGAGGAAGTCTATTTAGACATTACGGGATGCCGAGGGGGCGGCCATCTTGAATTCTATTGTTTTAATTAAGACACTATGGGATGCCCAGGGAGTGTCAATATTATATAATCTTACGCTTTTCAATGAGAAGCACATTTAGAAAGCAATGGAATTTGTTGGTAGTTGAAACAATATGTGAAAAATTATTACCATAAGTTCAAAATATTTCGTGAAAATATAACCCCAAGACTCTATGATTTATAAATGTTCTATGTGTTTGCTCACTCGGCATCCCATAATTCAAGATGGCTGCCGTATCAGTAAAAAGGTCTGTTACAATTAGTAGCTATAAAGAATAGAATAATATCCATCTATTGAATGTTCTATCACTTCAGGTAATTTAGAGGAGCCTGTACTGCAGGCTGATCACATGTTTTGTGACACTGCCAAGACTGTTCACGAGCAGTTCAATAACTGTGCTTCCCTCAGATCCGTCACTTTGAGGTAAGGCGACTGCAAAAATCTACAATGTAATTCATACAATTCAGGGCACCTCTCAGCCCAAGTGGTTTTCGTTTCACTTTTACTCTTCAATCACTCTTCAGCCACTTTCTGAGTCTACCCTCTCTTCTCTCCCACGTACACTATCACTGTTGTTCCCTCCCTCCCTTCTTTCCAAATCCCTCCCTCTCGAATCCCTTCCTCTCTCCCTTGCTCCCTCCCTCCCAAGTTCCTCCCTCTCTCCCTTGCTCCCTCTTTCCCTTGCTCCCTCTTTCCCTTGCTCC